CGACACCCCAGAGATCTATGTCTATGTCTCCCCGCTGGCTGCGCGCGCAGGTTCGGGCGATTCGGGCGACGACTCGGGTTCTTTCGCATTCGACGCCGAGAGCCTACAGGACCTACGTGCCTTCTACACTGCTCCACCGATTCGATTGCAGCCAGCTTGCCGCGCGACGCGGGGGCCGCCCCCGCCGCCGAGTCCTTCGACGCAACGCCGCGCGGCGCCGCTGCTAGGGCCCCGGCAACGAGCTCTATGTCGATGGGCAAGGCAACCCGGGACGACATGTGCGTTGACCTGCGGGCCATGAACGCTGCGCCTGGTCAGAAACCAGCCCGGGGCTGCATCCAGCATGGGCCAGGGCGCGACGTGAAACAATCCAGTGGGACCTGAGGGCTGCGCCCGCCGCGGCGATGGCGCGGTGGCGTCTTCTGTTCAGTGGGTCTGGAAAAAGCATTCGGTCGCCCCCGCCCCTCGCCCCCTCGCCGGCCACGAAGAAAAGAAACAGCCGCGGCGCGGCGCCGCCCGCGGCAGCCCAGCCAGCCCCGTGGATCTGGACGAGGCCGACGCCTGCAAGAACAACGAGCAGCCCTACATCCCGGGCCCCCGACCCAGCGTCGGTAGAAGAATCGCCGGGGCGGCGCGGGCAAGACAGGCGCGGGAGACGCCCCCTGCCGCCGCCTTGCCGCGGGGCAGAGCTGCGGCGAAGCGGGGTCAGGCTCGGATTTCGCGGACACCTTGCGGGGCGCTGGGCTTGCGGAGACCGCGGCGCCGCGCCGCCCCAACCCCGGGGCGCGCTTGCTCTGCGCGAGCGCCGCGTGCGACGAGGACTGGGCAGAGATTTGCCAGACTTGGCGGGGGGGGGGGCCTTTGCCCCCCGGGTGCTTCAACCGCCTTGCAGCCGCGGTTTGCGCCCGCGCGGTCCGATGTGGGAATTTGAGCGGCGGCGGCGGTGGGCCAATCTGCTGCGCTCTGGCGAGTGCCGCGTGCGCGCTGCCCCCTCTCCGACTGGCGACGAGGCAGGTCACGCGTTCGTCGTTAATGTTCATCGACCCCGATCTCGCCGCGAAGATGAAGTATTGGGCGACTCGGGTTTGGACGCGGCAGTGCGCTTGTCGATGGCGCGGGCGCAAGCCATCTTCTTTGCAACTCGGACGCAGGATGTCGATGTGGATGCCGGGCACGAAGCGCCATCCGATGGGCCGCGCGGCGTGCCGGCCGCAGGGTCGCTGGAAGGAGCTTACAGGCGTCGCGTTCGGCGCTCGCCAAGGCGCCCCGCCTGCCGTTGGCGAGGCCCCCACGGGGGGCGAGGAGCAAACTGGCGAAGCGCCACGGGCTGCCTGGCGTCGTAGAGTCGGCCGCGGCCTTCGCCTCGTTCATGACAGAAGCCAGCGATTGGGCGGCCGCCGCCGCGGACTTCCTGAGCGCGAAGACGGCGGCGTGGTCGGGCGCGCTTAGGAACCGGAGAAGCACGTCCAGGACGAGAAGCCAACCTGGAATCTTTTTCCCAGCAGAAGTTGGCCGCGGCCGCGCCCGGCATTTACGGGGCGCGGATCGTCGGCGCCACCGCGCGAGACCATTGCCGCTCCTTTTGGGTTCGCGCAGGAGACGGCCTGCTGCGCGCCGAAGATGGCAAGGCGCGGGGCTATAGCGAAGACTCAGGATCTTTTGAAGCACACCATGGTCTTCCGCGGGAATCGACTCTGAGCGTCGTTCAGTTGCGACCGCTTTCTTCGGGTGTTTTTTCCTTGGGATCGACGGCGACGTCGACAGATCTCACGAGGGCGTCTTCGCAGCCACGCCATGGGCGTTCGCCTCGCGCGGGGAGGGGGGTGGGGCTGAGCGGGGCTGACCGAAGCATTCGAAGACAACTACAGCGCAAGGGCAACGATACCTTGAAGAGGAAAGGGAAAGGCAAGGGCCCGCCGCTTGGCGATGGGGGGCGCTCAGCAGGACACGGGGCACGAGGACAACTAACGCCCTGTCCAGTCTACTTGGCGCGTTGACACTGCCCATGGGGTGATCAAAGTTAACGTGGCCATGCAGGGCGAGCTCGCGGGCGCGAAACCAATGGTCTACTTTGCCGAATGGCGCCAGCGCCCAACGGAACGAGTCAAGGGGAACGCGCGCCAAGGCGCCGCGGTGAGATGCAACGACGACGGCCCCGACACGCCGATCGCCGAACGCTTGAGGGCTCGATCACCACAGAACAGCATGTACATTATAATGCCAGTGTCCCTCCGTGACACCGCGCTGGATCCCGTGGAGAACAGAGTCTGAAATTGTTACGAACAATCGTTTTGGTCACTCGCCCCCGCTTTCCTGGCCTGCTGAGCCGCGCTCGCCCTGGTGCAGCGCGGGCCCAGCGTCGACGCGCTGTTCATTTTCTGGGGGGGGGGGGGGGGGCAAGGGGCGTCGGCCACGGTCGCGGCCCATGCGGCAGCGACGCGCGGCTCCGACCTGCGCGAGTACTTCGACCCGAACATCTTTCACATGGATGGGGAACTTCGGAAAGCCATCGAGGTTCTTGTCGGCTGCATCATCTTCGCTGGGCAGGGGGGGCCGTCGGCGCTGGGCAAGAGATGGGGATTTGCATTTGCTGCAGAAGTTCCGCGGCGGCGACGGCTTGCGGGGGGGGGGCGGCCGTTGGGCATCTTGACGAAGCTCTTCGAGATCATCGGTTGGAGGCGCATGGAGCTAAACCGCGCGTTCACGCCCGGGGACGAGTCCGAAGCAGACTTCGAGCCGATCATGCGCAGGTCGCTCATCGCCAAGATCGCGGCGCGCTTCTGCGACGCCCCCCACTTGCGGAGGTTCGTGCCCGGCCGCGAACAGCGCGGCATTTTTGCGGGGCAGCGCGACGCGAACGATTTCATGACAGACCTGCCCGCGCGCGCCGCACGCGCCCAGGTCCAGGCGATTTTCGAGGAGATGTGCGACCGGTCAGCGCGCGAGGAGCTCATTGTAAGCTGCGGGCGTAGAGGCGGATATCGCGGCGTCGCCGAGACATGCGCGCGGCTTGCCATCTGCCGCCGCGCCTTCGCGAGGCGGGCGGCTGGGCCCGCGTCGCGGGCGCGAGCGCGGCGACGGCAGACGAAGGCGAGGGCAGAATGCGACGGGAACGAGCTGCGAAGGTGGGGCTGCAATTCGCCCCCTGGATGACGCAGAGAAGCGCCGACTATCTCGCTGCCAACGCGGTGGCCGATATGCCGCTCCCAGCGAACTTACCAGTCACTAACAAAGCCGCGTTGCTGGACCAATTCGTCGCATTCCGAGCGCGGCATAAGTCCGCCCCTGCAGGGGGGGGGCTGCAAGAAGCTGGACCAATGCATGGCGCTCGCGGTCGCGGCACACGACCCGAGCGCGTCGCCCCTTCAGGGCATCGCTAGCAAGCCTGCGAATCTACCCGACATGCAAAACATTTACCACGTGGAGCCGGTTTACTTCTCGAGTTTTCTGCTGGCACGTTGAACTCATACATTTTGTCGGGCTCTCAGAAGGCGCGCGCGAGATCTCTCAGGCCGCAAGGCCAGAAGGGGGGCAGATGGCCGCAGGTCCGCAAGACGCCCAGATGGAGCTGTTGAAGCGTTCACCCCACGATACTCAGCGTCCCCCACTTACAATTCACCACTGACGACCCGATGCCGACAGCGCTCACGTACTACGCCACGTGCAAGATTGGACGATCTATGCTGTTATATCGATATGTTCTCGACTGGGTTTATCCATTGTCCGTTTTTCCTGGTCCATGAATGGCGCGCAACTGAATGCGGTCCTACCCGCTACGCACCTAACTTCTATGATGCTCATTATCCCAGTGCGACACTGCCTAGGAGTTGGAGCCCGTAGGAAAGCGTGACAGTAAAGCTAAGCTAAAGCTAAGCTAAAGCTAAGCCAAAGCTAAGCTGAAGCTAAGCTGAAGCTAAGCTGAAGCTACGCTGAAGCTACGGTAAAGCTAAGCTAAAGCTAAGCTGAAGCTAAGGTAAAGCTAAGCTGTAGCTGAGCTGAAGCTAAGCTAGAGCTAAGCTAAAGCTAGGCTAAAGGCTGTAGCCTAGCTTTAGGCTAAAGCTAAGGTAAAGCGAAGGTAAAGCTAAGCCACATCTAAGCTAAAGCTAAGCTAAAGCTAAACTAAAGCTAAGCTCAAGCTAAGCTAAAGCTCGGCTAAAGCTCGGATAAAGCTGAGCAGAAGCTAAGCTAAAGCTAAGCTAAAGCTAAGCTAAAGCGAAGCTAAAGCTAAGGCTAAAGCTAAGGCTACAGCTAAAGCTAAAGCTCCTAGGGGACTGGGGGAACCGCGGGGCGGAGACCGGGGGAACCGCCCGGGGCGGGGACCACTGCCCGGCCCCTTCAAGCAAAGATATTCAATACACTTCTAGGCAGAGCTTAGGTAGGGAACATACGGACTACCCGCTACCTGGTAAACTACATGTTGCCGTTGACCCTCCACATGCCACACACTGCGTACCGTTCGCTGCCCGCGTATTTCTAGCTCTTGAGACCCATACCTCCTCCTACAGTCAACCCGCATGATGAGGATGGTCAGCCTTCCCAAGGGTATCCTTGCATCCTTGCCTCTTCGGCCTATACTTGGTCACTTTCGTTGGCTTGCCCCGCTTGACAAGCTTCAACATGGGCGTCTCAGGCCCTTGCATCCTTCTCGCGCATCCTTATGATACGGGCCGACCTTACTTTTCGCGGTGAGTCTCAATGGCAAGTTCGTAGGGGCAGTCCCCACGGCTGTCCTCAATGGCCTTCATTCCATTCTCGGCGTCATGGCCACTTCTGCCTCCTGCCCCTCCTTTCCTCTGCCTCCTATCTCCCCGAATCCGCCCTCCCTCTCATCCATCTCCCGCTCCTGGTCCTGCTCCCTCTCTCACATTTGCCTTCTGCCTCCCATCTCCTTGCATCATCCGCTTCCCCACTTACCCCCCCCCCCACTCTACATCCCCTCCCCTCCCCCTCGTCCATCTCCCGCTCCTGGTCCCGCTCCTCTTTCCCCCATTGGCGTCGAGGGGACTGGTTCCAGCCTTGGGTTGACCTGAACGCCGCCGCGATCGCCGGCATCAGTAGCGTCGTTGGCTCCGGCGGGGCCGCGATCATTTTGTGCCTCGGTCGCCTCGTCCGTCTCCCGATGTGTATACATTGTAAGCTTGCTTCCACTCCGAGGCAGAGGATGAGAAGAGTTGGGCGAGGGAGAGGAGGAGGAGGAGGAGGAGGAGGAGGAGGAATCATTGCAGCATCATAGGCAGGTGGAGGGGGATGGGCGAGGGGATGACGTGAAGAGAGGGAAGGGGGGACGAGAAGCAGAAGAAAAAGAACCCTTAGGAGGGGATGGATGGGGATAAGCGGGAGAAGAGGAGTGGATGAGGAGGAGGAGCAGCGGGGGGAGGTGGAGCAGTAATTATGTGAAGGGTGTGGGTGGAAAAGAGGGGAGAGAAAGAGGAAGGAGGAATGTGGATGAGGAGGGGGGTTGACAGAGACAGAGGACGAAGCAGCCGAGAGGTGGACGGACGAGGAGTGAGGAGATCGGAGGAGTAAGGAGGAGTCTTGAATAGGACAGCCCGGGATGGAGGAAAATGATGGTGGACGTCGGAACAGGACGGAGGAGGAGGACGGATAGGGACGGATGATTACGAAGAGGATTGGGAAGTGCAGAGGAGCAGGAGATGGGCATGGACGACCTCGAGCAGGTCTGGATGACGGAGGGGCAGGGGCAAGGAGGACGATGGTGAGGGGGAGGATGCGGTGTCCGAGGCCGATGGGGTTGAGGCTCTCTCCTTCTTCTGGGCATCTTTGAGCGCGTGTAATTTGATCGTGCCGTCGGCACGTTTAAGCCAGCCTGTTCGGATTGTTTGGATCGTTGTCTGCGTGTGTGTGTGGATACAGGAGGGGGGTGAGGGGGGAGGTGTGTGTGTGTGTGTGCGTGCGTGTGTGTGTGTGTGTGTGTGTGTGTGTGTGTGTGTGTGTGTGTGTGTGTGTGTGTGTGTGTGTGTGTGTGTGTGTGTGTGTGGGGGGGGGGGGAGGCGGGACAGCTGCAGGAGGAGGGACGCAGGACGCAAGACAGACTGGGAAGTACGGACTGAGAGGAGTGGCGAGGGAAGCAGCAAGACATGTATTATGGTAAGGATAGTGACGGATGAAAGAAAGAGGACGTGCGGGCTGATGAATGTGTATGAGTGTGGCGATGATGATGACGATGGTGATGATGATGTTGATTATGGTCATGATGTTGATTAGGTTGATGATGATGTCGTTGATGTTGACACTGTTGATGTTGATAAGTGTGATGTTGACTCTGATGATGATGATGACGATGATGACGATGATGATGATGATGATGATGATGATGGTGATGATGATGATGATACTAATGATTAAGGTGGTGATGGTGATGGTGATGATGGTGATGATGCTGATATTGTTGGTGATGATGGTGGTGGTTGGTGGTGATGATGGTGATGATGATGCTGTTGTTGTTAATGATGACGATGGTGATGATGGGGTTGATGAGGGGGTGTCATAGGATGACTTAGGATGACGATGTGTTGGATTTTGGAGAGGGCGGAGGATCAAGGGTTGGGAGCAAAGCGGAGGAACGAGCAATGTTTAGGAGGATGGGGGGGGGTAGAAGGAATCGAGGGAGGGTGAGAATTGTGGAGACTTGGAGGGGTGGGAAGGGGATGGGGCGAGAAGAGGGGGGGGGAGAGGGGGAGGTAGAGAGGGGGCAGGGGGGCGGAAGAGGAGGGGGAGGAGGATGCCCATTTAGGAATAGCGGGACGGAGGAGCATGGAAACGGCGGGGGAGGAGGAGAAGGGGGAAGTGGGAAGGAGGAGGATGCTGCGAGAATGTGGGGGAGGGTAGAGGAATGAGGCCAGGGGGGAGGATGGCGACGGATGGAGATGGGGGGCTAAGGAGCAGGCGGAGGGGAAGACGAGTCTGTGGAGGATGGGGATCGGGATGGTAATTCGGAGGAACAGGAAGACGGATCATCAGGACGTTGTAGCAATTGTGCCGGAGTTGCAGAATCAGCATAACCGTCAACACGAGGTCTAGCGCGAGCAGGGCCAAGACGGAGAGTGGAACTAGCGCCAGGTATACTATGGAACATTGTGTGGGGGATCAGCAGGAAGAGTAACAGGGCCGTGAGGAACTTTGCGCTGACGGTGACACTGCGTGGCATCGACTAGTTGTGTGTGCGCAGTGCTGACCTCTCTACGTGATGTGCGCGCACTCCCAGTCCACTCGGTCGTGCTTACTATGTGTTGACTGTTGTTACGTGTGTGGTATTCCCTGTTGGTGCCTGAGGAACCTCTGCGCCGCCGACTGACAGCTATATCATTCAAATGTTTTGTGTACCGTCAGAGTGTGAAGCTCCGTTCTAGTGATATCGATGTGCATTGACCCAGGTTGCGCGATTGTATGGCGTCGGTTTTCGCACATCGGCGTCGGTGCGTGGCATGCCTCGAGCCCGTGCTGAGGCCGTTCGTCCTTTCGCGTGTGCTTGCGTTTTCAGTGCATCGCGCGTGCTCGGAGATTGTAGGTCTATTCCCGCGCAGCTTGACGCATGCCTTCGTGTCGGACATGTTGATCGTCATTGCCGTGTGTACGCATTCGTTTGGAGTATTAGCCTCTGTTCCGTTCGACTAAGTGTTAGTTTGTATGTTGTGTGTGTGTGTGTTCATCGTCCATCGTGTTGTGAGCTTGCTTTCGTGTTATGATTCATGTTATCATGTTTAGATTGCGTTCAGCTTCTCTGGGCCTCCGTAGGCGAAGAGCACGATTATAATTGGGGTCGTGCTGGTTTCAGCGGTGTGCATTCGAGACACCTTCCGAAGGGACTCTTCTGGCGTTGCCCTCCCAGGTACACCGTGCTGATCAAGATTGTCACCTACCCGGTGACGCAGCCCACCCTCCGTACAAACGCGGTCTTGCAGTTGGTCGCGCCCCAGCGGGAGTACATAGAGCGGAAGTACAAGAAAAACGACGAGGTGGCTTGGGGCACAGCTATTGGCGAGCTTGATCGCGCGAGCGAATGAATGACGAGGTCGATTCTGCGGATGTTGAAGTCGTTGCAGCGTCGGCATCGCCCCGCGGTTGGAGGCAGAGGAAGCAGAGGTGGCGGAAGCGGAGGAGGCAGGCAGAGGTGGCAGAGGCGGAGGAGGAGGAGGAGGAGATGGGGGAGAGGAACCAGGAGGAGGGTGGCCCAGGGGGATGATGGGGGAGGAGAGGGGCGGGGATGTGGGGGAGTTGAGCCTGATCGCCGCCATCGTCGCCGCGGTCGTCCTCGTCCTCGTCGTCGTCCTCGTCGTCGTCGTCGTCCTTCTCCCCCGATCGTTGCCCCCCCTTCAGGGCGAGGGGAGTCGGCTCTCGCCGCTCCGCGTGCCGGAACAGCACCCAGGCGTGTACAGCCCTGTGGGTGGAGCTTCGCGCGGCCGCATTTGCCACAAGAGCAGTCTCGTCCTTCCTCTCGTGGGTTCCTCGTTTCCCTTACAGTCGGGGCGATGACCTAAGGAACCCTAAAGAAGAAACGAGGCTCCGTTTTCCATGAGTTGAACTTCGAGTTCCCATGGAAAACCTCAGGAACACCTGAGGCAAACTGTTATACGCAATCAAGGAACACCGAGCCCCTCCCCAACGAAACGGGTTCCTTCTCCAGCGCCCCGGCTGTGTCAGTGTCTTAGCGTACGCGCGTGAACTTAACCCTGCTTCCCCCTCAGGGTTCCAGCGGCAATCGTTGTCCCCCTTCCCCTCTGTCGTTGTCCTCCTCCCTCCTCTACTGCTGCTTCCCCTCTCTCGGTGTCTCTCGTTGCCGCCTCCCCCCCTACGTATCGTTGACCCTTGATCCCCCTCTGTCGTTGTCCCCCTCTGTCGTTGGGTGGCGGTTTGTTTCGCCCGCTTCCTTTTCGCTCGAATTGTTTTTCGCTCGGTGTCGTTTCGCTCGTTTTTTTTTCTCTCGGTATTTTGTCGCCCGGTTCCGTTTCGCTCGATTTCGTTTCGCCTGGTTTTCACTCCGGCTGCGTGATTGTCCTTGAGCGGATTCCCCTCCGCGCGGATGTTCTGTCGAGCGCGTTGCGACCGAGCGAATTTCAACCCCGAGCGAGTGCCCATCCGATCGAGTTGTGGCCTCTGGGGCCAGGTCCCGTGTCCAAGACGGCGACCGAGCACCGGCCGAGCGAAGTTTAACAGAGCGAATGCAAATTCGAGCGACATTAAAACCGAACGAATGTAAACCGAGCGAAATTTAGCCCGAGCGAATCGAATCCGAGCGAAACGAAATCCGAGCGAAATCAGTCCCGAGCGAATTCGCACCGATTGAAGATCAAGGGGCGAAAGTGCACGACCGAAACGAACTTAGAGCGAAATAGACGTGAATCCTGTCGTTGCCCCCGGCTTCGAGGAGGGCCTTCCAAGCTGGGCCGAAGTGGACGGGGTCGGACGATGACACCGCCTCGACGGCGTCTGGAGATGCGGCGCCACCGGACCCCGCCTAATTCCGTCAGCCCCGGGAAGCGTGGGAAAATGAGATTCCAGCGTCGCACGAACCCCTCCAAGTCGGGCGCCGAGGCCGTCCCCGACGCCGTGCGGAGGATCTGTTCGAGCTGCGTCGCAGCGCCGCCACGAGAGCCCTCGCCCCTCCCTCCTACTCCTCCTCCTCGTCCTCCTCCTCCTCCTCCTCCTGCTCCTCCTCCTGCTCCTCCTCCTCCTGCTCCTCCTCCTCCTCCTCCTCCTCCTGCTCCTCCTCCTCCTGCTCCTCCTCCTCCTCCTCCTCCTCCTCCTCGGGGATCCGGCAGGCGACCAGCAACAAGCTCCAGCAGCGGCTCTTCGCGGAGGCGGGGGGGCGCGCCTGCGCGGCCCGGGCCGGGGGGCGGGCGTCGGCCGACCGCCGCCCGCCGGGCAGGATCTCGTGCATCTCGCCGCGTTCCTCCCTCCCTGCATGCATCCTCCCTCGCCGCCTCATCATCCTCCTTCTCCTCGATCCTCCCTGATCCTCCCTGATCCTCCCTCATCCCCCCGCTCCCATCCTCGTCTTCTTCATCCTCTCCATCCTCCTCCCTCATCCCCATCCCCCCATCCTCCCTCGTCCTCCCTCCCTGCCTCCTCTGCCTCCCTCTCCCTCGTCCTCCCTCCTCCCCCCCCTCCTCCTTGCAATTCGTATTCCTATCCATCCTACCCCCTCGGCCTCCTCCGTCCTTCTCCGCATTTTCGGAAGCTCGACTGGCAGTGATCCACAAATTACAAAATCATTCTCCTGTCCCCCCCTCCTCTTACGCCTTCTCCCTACTTGCACTCATCCTCCTCATCTCCCTCCCCTGGGGAAGCCCCTTCCTGCGGGGCGACGGCGACGTCGACCATCTAATGTCCTGCTGCTTCTTCTTCGCGAAACCCAGCAGAGCATGGTGCTGCAACGCCGGGATGCCAGAGCGGAGCGAACACACGAGTGTCTCGGCGCGGAGTAACAGGAGAGATCCCACCATGTCAGACTGGAGGTTAATCCGAACTTCGCAGCAAAGGGAATAGGGGTCTGATTTGAGCTGCCTCGGAGGGTTCCAGGGGGGTCTGGACAAGAGGCCTCCCTTTCTTGGCTATGCTGGGGGGATCTCAAACTGTTCGTCTCAGAAGGTTGTGGCCCTTTCCCTTTTACCACGAAATGTGGAGTACGCATTTCCCTCGACCAGGACGCAAGCCACCCAGGCTCTCGAGTATTTCCGAGCACGAGTCGGTTGAACATAATGTTTCTCTGAGGCTCGAAGAGCCTGCGGGGACCTTGTGCAGGCGCCCCACCTGACAGCAGGCACGTCGGCAGGGGAGGACAATTGGTGGACACATGGAGTGACAGGATCGACATCAGTGGCATGTTCAGCAGGAGCAGTATGAGCAGCAGGAGGGAATGAGCAGCAGCAGCAGCAGCGGGAGGTCGATGTTGTCACACTTGTTATGATCCCGGCGAGGTCGGTGTTAACCCGCTTGCGAGTTTGCTCCCCGTCCTGCTGCAGCTGCCCATCTTCATCGGCCTGTTCCGTGCCATAGCGCAGCTAGCGCGGCAGGAGCTTGGGAGGATAAACGTGGGCAGGTCAGGGGAGGCGCGTGCTTGGAGAGGGGGAGGGATAAGGACACGGAGGTTTAGCGAGGATGCAGGAGGAGGAGGAGGAGGAGGAGGAGACGCAGAGAACGGGATAACGAGAAAGGGCGAAATTTGAGGGGTGGCAATGGACTCCTGAGTGGGTTCCGAGGATTGGGAGATCGGATGATTTTTGGATGTTTTACTGGTGCAGGGCACTTGATAATAATGGCGGATGTTGGAAGCGAGTCAGAGAGAGTGGGGGCGATTGGATCACCCTGTTGCGCACGGGATGGAGTTACGAACCCTCTCGCCGCCGGCAAACGACAACGAGGACACCCACGACAACGACCACGACCACGACGACACGACGACCACGACGACCACGACGACCACGACGACGACGACGACGATGGCGACCCATCCGTTCCGCGCGCCCCGCCCGTCCAGACCGCCCGTCCGACACGCCCGCTCTAAAGTCCCGCCCGCCCAACCCGCTCGCCCCACCCGTCGTTGTCTTCGTCGTCGTCGTCGTGGTGGTCGTCGTGATGGTCGCCGTCGTCGTTGTCGTTTCCGTCATCGTCGTGGTGGTCGTCTTCTTCGTCGTCGTCGTCGTTGTCGTTTGACGGCGGTGCGTAGGGGTTGGGGGGGGTGGCAAGGATAGTGGGATGTTCGTCCCCCCACCCCTTGCGCGGACGAGGCGGGTGGGAACCCCCCTTCCTGGGTGGGGGTGGCATGGTGGGTGGGGGGGGTTGTGGCCCTTGGGTTTCGGAGGGAGTCTTTTTTCTTCTGGGAGGGTGGGGGTCCTGGTTTCGAGACTTCCCTTTTAGGACACTGTCCCAGATAAGCAAACTTGAAATGCGACTGCTCATTTTGATTGACATTTTCTCTCAAGCCTGTCAAGTAAGACCATGCTGTCCACGCACGCGCCTCCTGTTCGCGCTCATGCCGTTAGCGCGGCATTTATGCTCGAAGCATTTATGCTAGATTCCACCGCCAGGCTTATCACATGATACCGTGCGGACCACACGTGTGCCTCCGCGCGCTCCTGCCCGAGTCGTGCTTACAAAATGCAAGTAGTGGGTCTCGCCAGTGAGTTGCGGGCGGGTGGGTTAGATCTATGACCGCGTTGAATTGCGCAGGCATTGCGGCCTGTGCCGCCGACCCTGAAGGGGGACGACGACGACGACGACGACGACGACGACGACGACGACGGCGACGACGGCGGCGACGACGGCGACGGCGCCGCACATTCAAGAGAGTTTGAGAGGAAAAGTAGTAGATGTTACCTTCCTGGGGGGTGTCTTGGGAGTGCTCTTGGGGCTCTCGTGGGCATCGCGGGAGCCTCTGGAGAGCTCCCTGGGCGCCTTACGGGGCCTCCCGGTGGCCTCTTGGGGCGGAAGGCTCCACATGTCGGCTGGTGCTCCCCCCACCCCCTCGGGAGCATCTTGGGGGCCTGTTCGGCCGTCTTGGGGGCCTCTTCTCAGAGGAGAAAGGTACCCATACCGCTACCCTTCGGCCGTTTCCTTCTTTTTCGGCAGCCTGGAAGGCCCTCGTCGCCACCGCTGGAGTCGCCTCGAAATCCTGGTCAGAACGCAGTAGAGGTATCGGTATCTTTGATGTCCTCATCTTCGGCGGTCTTTTGGGGCCGTCTTGGGCCGCGTTGGGGCCAGAATGTACGTATTGGATTTGCCAGTGCTTTGCGGGTGTGTGGGTTGGATGTATGTTCGAACAGTGGATCTGATCCTGACACACTGCATATGCTTGACACAACCGAGTAGTTTCTTGATGATTCGCGTACCCCCCACCATCGCATCCAGAAACGGTGTTCAGACAAATAGCCTTGATCAATGAAGTAGGGGAGCATACGGTGGAACAATCTCCCGGGGAAGACGTCAAATCGAAGTTGGGGATCAGTCTGAGCAGCCGAAACATGTGCGCTCGCACACCTGTCGTTCGACGAAGGGCGGGGGAGAAGGATGCAACTGCGGAAGAAAGTAGAGGAGGAGGAGGACGAGGCGGAAGGTAGGATGATGGAGGAGTGGGAGGGGTATAATGAAATTGAAGACGACCAGACAGGTGACGAGTTTGATTGAACATTTTCTCACTCAACTTCTGGTTAACCCTGGTTTGGGGGCTGTGCTAGGGAGCCTCGTTGGGAGCCTCTTGAAACCAACTCGGGGCCCTCTTGGGGCCATTTTGGGAGCTGGAGCTCTCTTGGGGGTCTTCTTGCGGCTCTCTTGGATGCCCGGGGGAAGCCATTACTTACGGTTGTCCCAACTGATCCGCAGAAGTCGTATATTGGAACGATCTTCGAGCGCTCTTGGGGCCATCTTAGTCCCCTCTTGGGACCCCCTTGTGCCATCTTGAAGCCATCTTGATTGAGGCCTTAGGCGCCCACCGGAAGCGAGAAGGCGAGAAGGCATCAACCAACGGTTTCCTCTACGTGTTGGAAGGAGTTGGGCCTGCTGAGCGCCTCCTTCGGAAGCTTCGTGGCCACTTGCAGCCGTCTTGGAGCGGCCATGGGGCTTCTTAGATGCATACTGGTGGCCATATTGAGCCAACGTCAGATATCTCGAGCAGTTTGGAGGCCACCTTGGGCTCTCTGGGGCCATCCTGTAGCCATGTTGGCCCAACTGCCTCCCAAGGATGCCCCCGAGACGCCAGCATCTTTGAACGATTAATCATTTGCTTTTCAATGAATTTGGCTTGTAGCGAACGGGGCGGGGTCCAGTCCCCACTCATGGGCGTCAACGGGCGCTTCTTGGCGCTCTCGTGGGACTTGGGGCCGTCTTGGAGCCCTCTGGGGCCCTCTTGGGCCGTATTTGAGGCACCTGGATGCCCCACGAGCCCATCGACAAGGCGAACGGGCAACACATTGATTTCTGGTAGGGTTTGGAAAGATGCTGGCCTCTTGGGGGCATCCTTGGGACGGTCCGAGGCCTCTTGGATCCGTCTTGGAGCGGTCTCGTGGCCTACTGGAGCATTGAGGAGGCCGTCTTCGACGATGCTGCGCTATCTTGAGCCATCTTGGAGGCCTTCTTCGAGCCATCTTGGACTCTCGGTCGCGACACTCCCGCTCAGACTAAGGGGGAGGGGGTAGACGGAGGGGCAAACGGGAAGAAGAGGATTGGAAGAGGGAGTGTCTTAAACCACGTACGCCCTCAAGGACTGATAGGGTTTCAATTCCTGCTGATCTGGTGATCATTGTGTTGCGCTTGAGCAAACCCGTAGCATTGAAGCCTTTTCATTCCGGTGCGATGGCGGCCATCACGGGGGGGTGGCCGATGACGTCACGTTTCTTCGCGCCGCCGGCGTCTGGGAAGGCTTAGAAATCGCCGAGCACGGCTGGGCGATCTGCACCACGGCGCGTGTGTCAACCAGAGTGCCTTCGTGCACCACAGCGCCTGTGTACACCGCAGCTCCTCTGTACACCACGACAGCCGCGTGCAACACAGCGCCAATGTGCACCACAGGGCCTGCGTGCACCACAGCGCTTGTGCACACCACAGCGCCTGCGTACACCACAGCAGCCGTGTGCAACACAGCACCAGTGTACACCACAGTGCCTGCGTGCACCACAACGCCTGTGTACACCACGACGCTTTTGTTGCATCTAGAAGTTTTGAAAGATCCTTATGACATGTGGAGCGCCCGCGGATTCCACGGTGAGCAATTATCTTACACAGGATTTGGACGTGAATCCCTACCGAAATAGGAACGCCTCTGGAATCTACGGAGGAGGAGGAGGAGAAGGAGGAGGAACATGAGGAGGAGGAGCAGGAGCAGGAGGAGGAGGAGGAGTTGCTGTGCCTTGGGGATTGGGACTCGCATAGAGACAGGGGCGGCGTCCTCTTGAAGGAGTTCTCTTGATGCGTCGGGTACTGTCGAGGCAGTGCAATGGGAGGCGTCTTGGCATGGGGGCGCTGTGGCATGGCGCCGTGGCACTTCATGGCACGAACGCTTACCTTTTTCTTGCTCATTCCCAGTTGCGGTGCACACCGAGATGCGCACATTCGCTGTAGCGCCGACCCGCACGACGGGGAGAAGGGCGAGGAAGAGGAGGAGGAAGAGAAGGAGGATGAGGAGGAGGAGGAGAAGGCGAAGAAAACCGCGCGCGCGCACTGTGGTGTGCGCAGGCGCTGTGTTGCACGCGGTCTTTGCGGTGTACGCAGGCGCTGTGGTGCACGCGAGCAGTGTGGTGTACACAAGCGCTGTTATGCAGATCGCCACCGACATGCTGCTCCTACTTGGCCTCGGTCATCCCTAGACATTCCTGGACGCCGCCCGCGCGGAACTTGACGTCACATTGGGGGGGGGGCGGGGCTGGTGACAGCCGCTATCGCGGAACATTTTTTTCTTAACAGGTTCTTTGTTTTCATTTCGGTCGGGCCAATTCGTCTTTTCGTGATTGGTTGATTGGAAGATGTTTGTTCGATTGGCCGGGTAAATGGTATATGTGGTTGTTGGGTTGGTTCGTTCGTTGTTTGGTTTGTTGGGCGGTTGGTCGTGCGGTTATCCGTCTGCCGCCATACGCAGTGTAATCAATCGTCTCAAGATCTGATTTATTCCTCTGGGCCCACCCTTTTTAGTTGTGGCCTCAGCTTGCTGCTAGATGGCCTGTTTGTGACCTGGCCTCCCGTGTTGATTACTGTGTCGTCGTTTTCTTTTCAATGCGCCGCTCGCTTTTGTCCTCTCCGCATCCGCCGTTTTTTGTGTCTCTCCTTCCCCTTCCTTGTCGGCCTTCCCCTTCTCCTTCTCTTGTCGGCCTTCTCCTTCCCCTTCCTTGTCGGCCTTCCCCTTCCTTGTCGGCCTTCCTTGTCGTCCTTCCCCTTCTCCTTCCCCTTCCCCCCTCTGCATCCGCCGTTTTTTGTGTTTCTCCTTCCCCTCCTGTGTTCCCAGTCGGTTCGCCCTCCACGCGGGCCGCACCCCCAGAGGGCATGTCGCCCGCGGCACCCAGTTCGGGGGCGGGCGGCGCCCTTCGGC